AAGGAAGTAAGTTTCACCATGTGCTGTTGAGCAGGGATGTGGAATGGAAGAGTGATGCAGAGGGGGTGGGGGAGGCTTCTCTTACACTAGGGAAGAGGCAAGCCCTGAGGGTGACTGACAACAGTCAAATGGAGCAGAAGGCTAAAATGCTCTCATTCATTCCTACTCCCAGCCCCAGGAGGGAGCAGCACTCAGTCCTGCAGAGCCGGGCTTTGTGCCTGATTCAGGACCCCCATGGCATCTGGCCCAAGAGCTCTTTACAAGACCAGACTGTTTCCTTGTTTACCCTGAGCATGTCAATTGGTCCCACATGCAGCCAGCTCAGAAGTCAGGGTGTCAGGGCTGGGAAGAGCAGCACAGAAATAATTTTTCTTACATAGAAAGTAAAAATGGAAGGGGACAAAGGCAAAGTAGCTCCTGGGAGTGACAAAAGGCTTGGGAGAGAAGAGCCCTCAAGCCCCCTCTAGCCATACAGAAAGCAAAAGACAAGCCCTGCATTTGTCTGCAACACAGTATAACTAAAACTCTTTTATCCCTACCCCACTAGGACCACCTGCCTGGTTGCACCACCAAAAGGTACAAGCAGGCCACACAAAAATAGATGTCTTACAGCTCCATGTTGTAGCAAATCACCTACATAGCAACAGACAGCACCCACCCACATGTGCAAGTGTGATGAACTACAGACATTACAGAATGGCAGAACAGCAGGAGCTACAGACTGGCAGGGTCTGCAGGGCACATACACACACTGGAGCCAACATCTTTGGCTAACCAGTCTGCTACTCAGGTTTAGAAGCAGAGCTCAGCCACCAGCTGCAGACATCACACATCAGCTGTTGCCTAGTTGTGACCAGTCAGAACAAGGGAAGTATATACAATCTACATCCTGACCTGCATCCAGCCAGTTGAGATGACGTGATAACCACATGGCAGTGCTGGCTGTAACAAGCACAGCAGTTTGCTTTCATGTGAGAATTTACCATTAGTACTGGCTAGAACAGGGGTGGGCAAAATCCAGCCCATCAGGCCATTCTATCTGGCCCACAGGGCCCCTAAATATTTATTTTCTGAATTTTTTTTTTTATCTGCTCCTGGCTGCCTGTCAAAGATGACAGGAGTCAGGAGCAGTAAAACCCAGGGAGAGCCAGCAGCAGGATGCAGCAGTCCAGCCCCACCCACCCCCAGCCATTTCCCTGCCTTCCTGCCCCCGCAGTGCTCCAGCACCATGAGCCTCCTGGCTGCATCGCAGGACCACAGGAGCACGGCCCACGCCAGTACCCCAGCGGTGTCCCACACCATACACATGCACCCATACACCGCCTTGCACTGCCATACTTGCAGACCCCCCACACATCCCAGCTGTCCTCCCCACCACAAATGCCCCACAAACCCCATACCCACCTACGCACACACCTCCATGCTCACTCACCCCACACACGCACACCCACACCCTCCCCACATCCCACAGCCCCCCACAAACCTATACCCCCCACAATATATAAGCATAAGACTTCATTTTAAGCTACTATATACAATCATATCTATGTACACTACACAAATGCATGTAAACCAGGACAAAAATATTTTTTGAAATCAAATTAATTAATGTTTTAGATATTCACTTTTTAGAATATAATTTAGTATTTTTCTGGTTCAGAGATGGCAAAACCCCGTGCTGAAAAGAGTACTTCAGGAGACAAGGGGAGGGACTTCTGGTGGCAAAGGTCAGGGGGCAGGACTTCCAGTCACAAGATGGCAACCAGGGGATGGGGCACCTGTCAAGGACTGGGGCTACCCATGTGGCCCTCAACAGCTTGCCAAAACTCAGTAAGGGGCCCTCCACTCAAAATAATTGCCTGCCCCTGGGCTAGAAACAGACAGCACTAGCATGAGCTGCAGGAAGCTCCCCTCATAGCCCTACCAATGCCCTCAATCCAACCCATAGCCACTGCTATCTGGGACCTGGACACACCCCTCCCACCAGCTTTCAGGTGACCTTTAAAGCCAACCTATAGCCCCTTGCTATTAAGGACCTGGAGACTTCATAACCAGCTCTCCCATTGCACCTCAGCCCTGAGAGCCCCCTGCTATTCCAGGCCAGGAAACTGGTTCAGAGCAAAGATGCCTTTCCCCAAAGGGAGACATGCTGGGTTCAAAGTCACAGGATCTCTCTTCATTTCCCTCCTGCCCCATTGCTGACACCCCTCCATGCCAACCCACAGCCTCTTGCTACCCCAGCCTTGACCTCTCCCTGAAGCTGAGGGGCTTCTATAGACCCCCACTACAAACAATAAAAGCATTAACAGGTTCATAACCTAAAATATGGCCTAAGGGAATAATTCATTCACATTTGCCAAGTCAAGCCTGCACTTAACTAAGCATGTACCAAAAATGTAGAGTGATTCTGCGGCCAGCTTTGCAAGCTTACAACCATACCCCCCTCCCCAAGAAGTCTGCATAACCCACATAACTATATTTAGAAAGAGGTAAGATCAAAAGGCACTGGAAAACAGCACTCCTCCCCCTCCAGCTTCCCAATATCACTGACAGGTAAGCTGCAAAGGAGCTAGGTCTGGGTCCTGGCCCCGGTCAACTAAATATTGACAGCCTCCTTGTGGAGTGAAAGCCAGGCCCCCTCCTCCAGCAGACATGCTTTCATTCCACGCGATACATAAAAAGCAGCTGTGAATTATTCCTGAAGGCAGCCAATATTTCTGGCCTGCTCACAACACAGACAAAAACCTCAAACAGCTCCCTCTGCACTGGAAGAGCTGCCCCCTCCCCTAACCAGTCAGCTAGGACAGGACTCTAGGCACACTATTCCATTCAGCTGTTTGCTAGCAAAACAGCCACGCAGGCAATGTGAGCACAGCAATAATAGCCACCATTCCTCACACCACTAATGATTAGTGCTGTTACCAGAGGAAGCTGTTTGAGTTCTCCGGTGTGAAGAAATCAACCTCTGCCTGCCTGCCTCACTGTTGTAGGGCTACAGCCTAAACCCTCCCCCTGTAGTTACAAACTCTGGCTGCTGGATTGACCTGGTCTCCTAGGTAACAGGGTTGTAAACTCCATAGGGAGGGGGGAGCTCTCTCTTTCTTTGTTTAGGAGTTCCCGCCACTGCAGGTCATGTGACTATTCTCAGCTGGGAAGGTGATTTTTTTTTTTTGGAAGCACAGGCTAGCAGCCAGGGGGTCTGCTGCTGGTCAGAACTTAGTGATGAGGTCACGACAAGTATATATAGGGTCCCTTCTTTCTGGAGAAGACTAGGACATGTTTGGGGGGCACCGCCAGTGAGCCATGTGGCCTCCAGAGCAGGCTCCATCGGTCTCTGGATGGAATTGTGAGTAGCCTACCAGAAACCTGGCCAGTAATTTGGGAATGAGTCCTCTAGACATGCATCAAAAGGGCTAAGCAAACCCATACTGATTTGCTCAAGGTATGTTTCAATAGTATGTGGTTTGTACTCCTTCCCCACCTCCATCCCTCTTTACTGAATAAATCTATCTGGCTAAGCATGCCTCACAATGTGTGCTTAAGAGGGAAGGGATCAGTTTTGGAGGATCATTTCTCCTGTACAGGAGGCAGATTGTGAATGCTTCAGGCTAACAGAAGCACCCCATAATCCCAAGGTCTACAGGGCCTGTGTATCCCAGGCGGCACAGGGCCCAAACGAAGACCTGAGTCCGGGTGGTGGCAGGAGTACCCCAGGCTTGCGGGTGTGCTCCAGGAAGGGGGTCAGCCAGACGTAGGCACCCCAGGGGAGGCACTCAAGGCTTGATTTTTGGTTGGGCGCAGTGAGGCAGGTAGCTCAGTGCAGGAGCATCCCCTACTGGCTTGCCACACAGGCCTCCAGGCACACTGCTCCATTCAGCTGCCTGCTAGCAAAACAGCCATGCAGGCAGTGTGAGCAGAGCAATAATAGCTACATTCCTCACACAACTAATGGTTAGTGCCTGTTACCACAGGAAGCTGTCTGAGTTCTTCCCCTCGCCAAACAAGGCCACGTTTACCTTGTACAATGTGTTCCGAATGATTTCAATGTTCATTTCATCCAGGTCCTGCTCAGATATGCAATCTTGGAAAAAGGCAGCTGGGAAGAGACAAAGCAAGCCATAAGCAATGGTGCCAAGCACACTCCCCCTCCCCTTTCCCCAACCTCATCTGGAGAACAGCCATCCTTTTTAGACTTTACTACAGGGAAAAGCAGATTTTTCCAGAAGCCCTCATTGACATTTATGGGTGGATTTGCAGAAGTGCTTGTGTTGGCTGCTGAGGCCTTGATGACTGGGCCCTTGCCTTGGTATTTAAATGGAAGCCTCTCTCTGCTGAAAGCTACCTCTTACTTTCCCTTAGGTAGAAGGAAGGACTCTACATCTCTTTCAGCTAATGGCTACTGGAAGAGGCTTTGTCTTACCAGCTATCTTAAGATCGTGTCAGTGTAGCAATCTGGAAGGCTTTCTAGGCACAGTCTTGTAGTCAAGGTCATTATCAGCCTATTTTGTCATAAAAATCTTTCAGCTCAGGCTCAAAAGAAATTCCTCTCCTCCCTTCCTCCCTCATTAGCTTCTTAAAGCACTAATTTGGTCCTTGCAAAGTTGCATAAGCACAATTTAATAGAGAAGTGGTTCAGAGGAACTGGTCAGGAAGTCTGTGTAGGAAAATATCCATTTAGAGCCACTGGGCAAGTGCTTCCTATACCTACTCCTGCCAATACTAACCCCCTGGACTGCCCAAAGATTTATTACAGTTGCCCTAACCCAAAAGGTCTTTGTATCACATCAGTACCCAGATCAGTTCCCACGACTTACAGATAGATCTACTGTGGTGGAAGGGAAGTGCACAGACCCATAGGAATGTCAGTGCTGTGCCAGGATTAATAGCAATGGTACATTACCAGCCTCTAGACTTGGAAGTATTTCCAAGCTTCTTGCATGCTCTCTGGGAAACAAGCCATATAGCCAGCCAGGTATAGTCACATTACTGCTGCTAGAGAATACTCTCTTTGCACCTACCTCACCACTGCTGCAGGGAGGACAGGGACACAGCCCAGACTACTGTGCAACCTGTTGAAAAGTGGAGCTTCTCCTCCAAATAAAAGAGTGCTGCATCCAGTAAAAGGCACTTGCAGTACCTGCTAGCCCAGTCAGCATTGACTGCAGAGCCTGTACAACATTTCACATGGTCCAGGATTCTAATCTAATCTCCTCTTCTCAGGCCAGCCAAAAGGAGCCCTTCCTCCACTTTCCCCAAGACAAAAATAAGTCCTTCGTTTGCAGCTCAAGGCAAATGAGATAACCTTGTGCCATGGTGGAGCCTATACCAGGCACATCAGCAAGGACAGGCTATTTCCAGCACTGACAGCCAAGTAACATGATCAGCATGTTAAAGGAGGGGTATCATACCCCAAGGGAAAGA